TCTGTTCTTTGGGGCTTTGCCCCCTTTCTTAATCAAAAAAAGAAGGGTAAATCACGGAATATATTATTAAAGTATTGTTTTTCTCATAATATTGTGATAGGAAAAATAAATGAAAAAGTAAATAATTAACTATGGTTATACTCGTGAAAATGAGTTAAATCTTGAGAAATGTGATAAATGTACACATTAAGTTAAAGTGGTGAGCAAAAATGCTCTCAACAATAATACATCTTCGTACTTTTATGATACAGATACCGATCGACTGATTGCAAGACCAGGCTCAAAGGAAACCCAATGTGGGCTGCCAACGCCACAGGACCAAGCAATTACTTCATTAATTGACCTACATAATTCACTATAAATCTTGCTATAATATTTTTGCACAAACAAAAAATAAATTTGTTTGCATTTTTCGTGCCTACAAACAACTTGTAGGTTGCACCGTCCCCTGAGATGTTCCAGCTGCATGGCTACATGAAGCTTCAGCTGCTTGATTCTTGTAAGTGAGCTTCACATCCTCCATTTTGATATTGCTACATGGGTACTTGGAACTACAATCAAACTTAACTGCAACTTCTGTTGCCGATGTACCATGGATGTCTTGGTATGTCACATCACTGATTTTAACTCCAGAGACCTGTTTATAAAAAAATAATAATAATTAAACAACTATCTGCTGGGCATAAAAGAAAATAATATTTAGTTGCAATCGAATTTACCTGACCAGGGCAGCCTTTGTTGTCCGGGCAATAATTTTGATCGATAACAATGGGATTTTGGACATTGAGCATTACAGCATGTTGGAAAAGAATGTCCTTAGCAAATCCAGTGCTAGGCCTCCCCCACGACTTGATCCTCAAACCATTTTGAGTATTGAAAAAGGTAATCGATTTAACTGTTACATTTTGCACACCAGCCTCTTCTTGGTCCTTGCCTAGACTCCCAATGCTGAAATACCATCCAAAACAATTTAATTTAACATAATTAAAGAACATATAATTCAATCATTCATGCATAATTTTGCCATCCTCTACCTGATTCCATGGCCGGGTCCACATTTAACGTTTTCGATCCACAAATCTGAAGTGCCGGGACCGATTGAGACACAGTCGTCACCGGTTGCAATCTTCGAGTTGAGAATTGTGACGCTCGATGACATCTGGACGTGAATGCCATCAGTGTTGGGGCTCTGCCCGGAGGCAGAAACTTTAACACTTTGCATTTTCACATTATGGCAGCCGTTGATGACTATGTGGAACATTTGGCTGTTTAGGGATATCACGCCACTAACCTTGATGTCGTTGGAGTTAGAAAAACTCAATGTCTGCGCATGTGATGTAGCACACAAAATTGATTAGCCACAAAATCAATTCTTAAGCATACTTATTATATAAGGCTAAAAGCACATGCATTAACTTGATAGTTAAACTAGTTAATTAATTACCGTTGCTCCACTGGGGCAACTCTTGCCTGCTGCCTTGCAAGCCCACAAGTTGGTGCCTTGGCCATCAAGAATTCCACCAGATATAGTAACCCCCACCACATCCTCAAAGGAAATCCAGTTATCAGCATTTCCAATGACCCGGTAATCGGATGGGGCTACAAGAGTGCCGGCAATCTGGAAGGTGATTGCGTTATTTTTGCAAGGCCCGGCGAACACTACATTGTGCAGCAAGAACCTCCCCCTCGGCACGTAAATGACAGCTGGCTCCGCCGAGGCACAAGCTTTGACCCATGCAGAAAGGAAGGCATTGGTTGAGTCAGTCTTCCCATCTCCTTTGCCTCCTAAACTGGCCACATTGTATGGGGCTTTAGCGGCTAAGGCTGAGTTAATCATGAAGACAAAACCAAGTGAAAGAACAATGAGGCTTATGGAGTTTGCCATTTGAAAACTTGGACTTGGTTTTTTCAGAATTTTTTTGTGATGAGAGTGTGAGAGAGAGAGAGAGAGAGAGAGAGAGAGAGAGAGAGAGAGATAGAGAGGTTAATGAGTTGGAGATTGACGATGTGATGGTTTGTATTTATAGGCTTGAAATCTAATGAATTTGTTAATGAAAATGACAAAGCAAGCAAAGGGCGCCGAAATTTGTTTACTTAGGTTGCTACTTATAATATGCTTTTCATTATTTCTTGTACATACAGGTAGGTTGTTGCTTATAGTAACCCTCACATGGCTTCCAATATTCATTGTATGTGCACCTTATTTTAAACGTACGGTTCTTATGCA